AGTCTAGCAAATATACAGAAAAAGACCAATGCTTTTTCATACAGGTAACTGTTGACTTCAAAAAATCATCCAGCGTTATTAAAATAATAAAAATATCAGAAAATATGAGTGACTTTTTAAAGTTTTATTTTATACGTACACACACACACACACACACTTTTATATATATATATATACATATATACATATATATATATATATATATATATATATATATATATATATATAATTTTTTGCCTAAGAAAAAGAACAAGACAGTAATGATGACATTGTGCTAATGTCGAAAGTACTCGGTAAAATTATATGAATTAACGTGGTAATTTTCATTCTTCTTTTAATAAGAAATTTGTCCGTAATTACGAGAGGATCCTATTAAAAATTAGACGACAAAACATGTTTAAATTATTTAATGAAATATGTATATATATAGCAAACCTAAAGAGCCAGACAAACCTACCTAGGTTTCTAGGCTTTATTTGCTCTACTTAGCGTATTGAGCACTTTGTTTAGTTATTTTACTTACTCGTATCCAAGGTTTTTTTCTTTGGACTCTGAACTTAGATTCTAGACGATTATTTTCGCCGGAAGTACATATTCTTAGTTCTTTCTTTTTTTACCCTTTTTTTTTTTTACCTTGGGTATTGGTTTGTTCATTTACAAGCTAAAACACCTAAGGTTTTGGCGGACGAGTATAGCTGCTTATATTTATAAGATTATTAGTGTTATATATATATATATATATATATATATATATATAACACTAATAATCTAAGTGCGCAGGTATGCAGAAAATAGAAAAGAACACGTTGGGTGCATAATCCGGCTTTCCTTAGTATTTCTGTTTTTATTTTTAAGAAGACAGTGCTCCATACAGAAGTAGAGCTTTATTATAATTTTTTTTTGTTTAAAAAATATGATTCCTTCTTGAAGGAATCATATTTTTAAACAAAAATATATATATATATATATATATATATATATATATATATATATATATATATATATATATATATTAAAATATACATAATATCTTATATTATGCACAAATCGGAGTTTCGTACGTTCTGCATTCGTTCTGCATTCGTCAAGTGTAATTGCAGGTGGATATGCAATTATATTACACATATTTCTTAATATACTAAATAGCTATGTTATTTAATGAGTACTGTTTTTTCTTCCAATATAGAGTATAGATATATGTATTGTTATACGGAGGCTTGCTCGCACATTTACCTATATTTAACCATTTGGTTTATATATATATATATATATATATATATATATATATATATATATATATATATATATATAATCGTTTGAAATACAATCAGAAGACCGTACCAAATGGCGAAGCTTCATCAAAAGACAAATGGAAGAAGTCAAATGACAAGTGAGAAAGTTTCGACAAAATCCACATCCCCTTCCATTGGTCTAATTAATCTTCGATTCTCTCATCATAAAGGAAGCAACCAGGACAGAAGAAATTACATTAATGGATACGAGATAAAGCCGATCAATATATATATATATATATATATATATATATATATAATAATTATGCTGGTCACACCACAAACTCGCTTTCACGACGCTTGGCACTACATTTGAATGATAATTCTAACATTTTAAGGCATGTAAAACAACATGCCTGGCTGCGTACACAATTCCGTAAAATCCTTGTAGAAAACACAACTATACTTAAACATGAAAACAATAAACAAAAACTAAAAATTCTTGAAGCTATATACATAAAACAGTTGAAACCTAACCTGAACAAAATAAACTATGAAAACTCCACAAATATACTTAAATGCTTATAATAGATAACAGAAAGCATTGGCTTATACCAACGGCTTCCCATACTTAATACTTCTCGTTTTAATTCTTGCGTGGTGATGTGTGACGTCACGGGCCGCTGTGCGATTTTCGCTTTCAGCACATCGAATGCACGAGTTTGTCGTTGCTTGGAAATCGTCCATGCAAATAAAACAGACTATGTTCGTGTATTGCTTAATGTAATTGTCATCGTTGATGATGGCTTATGTAAGCCGAAAGCTTAGATGGGATTAAAAAATATGTATCCATATTGTGATTTTCTTTCGTCTTTCAATGATAATGTTATTAAGCTTATCAGACGATATGACATGAATATGCTTGAAATAAATAGACAAAACCTGTCTATATTATTTAATTGAATCATGCATCATTATATAAAGTTTGTAAAAGCATTTTTGATTAACTATATATATATATATATATATATATATATATATAAAATTATTATTATAAAGAAAACGGACTCTTAAAAGACCATGAAGTGATATTTATTTCATTAAGGTCGGAAAAATTATTATTGCTCTGTGTTTGACATAGAGCTCTCCCTGGATCTACATCCTTTTGGAAATATCCGTACAGATTACTAATATTATCATTATATATATATATATATAGATAGATAGATAGATAGATAGACTGAGATTAGATAATGAGCAGACTACGATTAGATAGATAGATAGATAGATAGATAGATAGATAGATAGATAGATAGATAGATAGATAGATAGATCTGTTAATCAATTCTATTTAACTATTTAAATCCTTGATGAACTTTTGAGTTGGGTGTATAAGTTTTGAATTTTTATTTGTTTATTTTTCATGCTCTATTTCTTAATATTGAGCTCTTTATTTACAAAGATTGCTTGCCTTAAAAATATTATCATCCAGTTAAGACATTTGCTTTTATTACATATCGATGTAAACACGTATGTATAAACTTATGCATATGTTGCTACAATATATACAAGGCCTGATCAAATGTATCAGGGATGGTGCTATAAAAAGAAAACTATAATACATATGAATTCGACACTTAATCTCCTTCAAAGTAGTTCCCTTCTGAAACCACATACTTTATCCAGCGTTGTTTCTATTGATTGAAGCTTTCCTGGAACTCCTTTTTTGATATATCAAGCAGCTGCCTCATCACATTCTCTGCGATTTCCACACTGTCTTGAAAATTTGTTCTTTTAGAAAGAGGAAAAAATGACAACTGGTGTAATTTCGGTGCTGTGGAGGTTGTCAGACCTAGGGAATTTTGTTCTTGACTAAAAACTGTTGTATAAACCATAGTCACTGACGGAAATTCTGTTATATGGTGAGATGACCACACTCTGCACACTTTTCTTCCAAGCCTCACTCTGCGTATTTTAGCTTCATTACCATAGCAAGAGTCCCGATACTTTTCTGGTCTATCCTCGTATAATTCATAAGCGGCTAAGAGTTCATGGTACTTTGACTTTTTTAGATTACAGCGGCATATTCCCCGTAAAAAAAAAACTGTATCACAATCGCCTTGTCCAGGGTGTGATGGGTAATTTTTTGTCTAAATGACGCAAAAATGAAAATAAAACTGACATCTCATTTTAACAGATATCTTTACCAAAAAATATCTTGAAATAAAAAAGAGTAAATTTATTCAATAAAATCGCCATTGCCTTCAACCAAGACCTCCAGACGACTTAGGAATCTTCTGCATCTTTTGTGGACAGTCTCCTTGTTTAAGTTAGTGAATATTGCCATAATCCTTACCTTTAGTTCATCTTTGGTGTTACAAAAAGTTTTGTTGGTCTCTCACTCAACTTCACCCCACACATAATAATCAAGGGGGTTGCAGTCTGGGGAGTTAGGTGGCCAGATGTAATGAGTAATGTGGTCGAAGAAATTGTCCGACAGCCATGACTCGATTCTACTGCTTGTATGACATGGTGGACAGTTCTTTTGCCACACATAGGGTTTCCAGCATCCACTCTCTCGTCCCAGTGCAGCACTACCTTCTCAAGGCACTTGATATAGACTTCCTTGTTTAGTATAAGGCCCTGTGCGAAGATAAATGGAGGCATAACGATGCCTTTAGTGATCACTCCAAACACCTTCGTAATCACCATTAGACTCATCCAACTCTTTCCGAATTCTTTGCACAGTCCTCAAATTGACACATAAACACTCTGAAATGTTCGTATTGGAGTTCGTATTCGTATTCTCCGGGGAGAATGCCAAGCAGTACAGCATACTGTTTCCAAATTTCTGATGGATTGACTTGCCCAACTGACCCTATTATACTGTAAGGTCAATAAAATCAATAACAAAGAACGCGCATGCGCGAAATTAAAAATATAAAATGGAGACAATTTACCAATCAGACCCTGTAATTGTATTCCGTCTATACCAGTCCTATACTTGGGCATATATATATATATATATATATATATATATATATATATATGTGTGTGTGTGTGTGTGTGTGTGTGTGTGTGTGTGTGTGTGTGTGTGTGTGTTACTAGTTTTTCCGAATTTTGACGGGTGCTCATGGATATGCATCAGTTTAATATTAAAGTCAGCCAATTTTACATATGCATACATAAAAAAATTACCTCCTACTCACTTTCGTTTATTAGGTACTAAACTGTATCACCTCATGTCCATGAACTTTCTTGACTTTTCCCCTAATCTCGTGAATATCCATGAGCACCCCTATCCAGAAAACCCAATAACATTTTTGCTCTTGTATATAAATATTGCTACAAAATAAAATCCTTACATTTGCCTTGATAAAGTCCCACAGAGGATGAAACACGTCGCCTAAGATAAGTTTTCCTTTTGTTTTGTTTTTTTCATATATATATATATATATATATATATATATATATATATATATATATATACACACACAAGTATAGGATTGGTGTAGACAGAATACAATTCCAATAACCAAAAACATTCTTAAAAGAGTGCTAAATACCAAGTAGAGCAAATGATATTTATTCAAAAATTATAACATAAGCATGTGATAACATCATTACAAAAATAGCCATATTGTTTCAGCAGTTCCGGTGTCTTGTCAAGTGATGACGGTGATTGCAGAATAAAGAGTTTTAAAACGTTCAAAATCAAGTTGAAACAAAATGGCTATTTCAAATACTATATATATGTGTGTGTGTGTGTGTGTGTGTGTGTGTGTGTGTGAATTTGTGTATGTGTGTGTGTGTGTGTAGACACAGAGGTCAACACCAACCGGCGACAGTCTGTTTCATGCTTGACCGCAATCTTTAGGTCATGTCTTGTGAATTTGCTCGATTATTTATATATGCTAGTCAATGGTGCTTTATGGACAGCAAGATCTATTCTATTATCCTAACGGCTATTGCGTAGAGAGTAGCGGCTATGTTTCAAATTATTCCAGAGTGTATTTTGTAGGAATTATTGTGGCTGTAAATGCGGTTATTTCGAGCCATTTTATAGTGTTGTTGACCTTTTAATATTATTTTACTATTTAATTATCACCTTGTTTGGGGTGAAATGATTTTTTTAAAATAGTCAAATTTCTGGATGTACTTGATTCTGATGTCTCCAATTAAGACGATATCAAGAGTGTGTGCTATCAAGAGCTTGTGCTACCATCATCATCTCCTGGGATGAAAAAGCGAGCGGGCTAACCCTATTAGGGCTAGCAAGATGGCTTTTCAGATCTTTACTAATTCATTCGATTCTTATTGTGGTCCAGTGAAAAATATATATTTTGTTTAATAAATAATTACCGTTGGAGAATATTACGAAATAAATAAGTTTTCTGTCGCCGTCCAAATTTTCCTGATGATGATGACGATACAACCAAAACATCATCAAACTTTCATATATTTAAAGCCTACAAATATACCTTTTAAAATATTCTTTAAATGTGGAGATTTTTAATGTAATATTGTAATGAAAATAATATGCCAAATGTATCTACATTTTAAGTGACTTGGTAAATTCCATTAAAAAATGCATAAGCAAAACTCAAAAAAAATGTTAGAAAAATTTATATTCCAAGGGAAATAACTTTTGATTATCAATGTAAGGGAAATAACTCTTTTCTTTTATTTTTTTTTTTCTCTTTCTTTTATTTTTTTCTTTTCATTTTTATTATTTTTTAGACAAGACACACAATGAAAGTTTTTAAGAGAAAAAAAATCCACAAATCTTGAAAATAAAGATTCAGAACTGAATTCGTGATCATTTTTCATCAATATTTTTATATTTTTCTTTTTGAAAATATTCCAAACTCGAGACATCTTGACAAATGTGTTTATGGCAAACCGAAAAGATTTCTTAGTGGCTGGTTTTGTTCCAAGAAAGATATTTTTCAGACAAATACCGATTTTTTTTTTTTTTTTTTTTTTTTTTGATGGAATCTGCCTTATATATTAAAAGAGGGGAAAAGATGGGATTCAAACTAAAACATGGACTCCAATTTAAATTGAAACCGTCAAGATACAGAGAGATTCTATCTTGAAATTTAAATTTCAACGTCCCATCTAATCAAGAAGTTTAACTCAGCCTGAACCTCTTTTATTTTTTTTATCGTTATTGCTTTTCATTATGTCATTATTGATTTGTGGGTGCTGTAATAGATAGACGAGTTTCAATTCCAGGCAAGGTCGTTACATTCAATTACATGTAAATAACCTCGGAAAATGTTCATCGCTTCTCTCCTCCCAACTATACGTTAAATAGTAGCACTTGCATCTGGTAAAATCATTGTTATTGAACAAAAAACTGTTATATCCATAATTCACTCATTTAAAAAGAATTGTATGTTGATGTTACCTGAGACACTGTTAGTAAAATTGTCCATTCCTTTTCTCACGAAGTCCAGAGCTCTGATTACTATTGGTACAGTCTCAGTTTTCATTCCCCACATCTTGATAATCTCGATCTCCGGGTCCTTGTATTTGAACAATTTCTCGATAATTTTCATGGAACATCCTATCACGCAACATTGCCATTCTTCTACGGATCTCAGTTTTTGGTGCTGGTTGTAAAGGTTTATCCTTGCCAATTCCCTGTCTTTTATGTTGAACATTTTCGTATGTTAGTGTTGTAACAATACGATTTCTCACACATCTTTAGAAGTTATCATACTTATGTAAACTCCTTCCTTTTTTAAGCTCACCCAGTTATCTGAATTTCGTTTCCAGACCATCTTTGAGGCAACTGAATTGCCGGTCTTTTCAGGATTCATGCCTCCAATTCGCCTTTGAATTGGGAAACAAAAAAATTACCAATGATTTTAGATAGTCATAAAAGTAGTCCTTTAAAGATTTGTCCACTCACGTGGCTCTGGGGTGGTCTCAAATCTTCTGGAACACAAGTGAATAGAGGGGGTGGGTCCCCAGCCATTATCTATATAAGCAGAGAGAAGCAGGAAGTCAAAAGATAAATGGGTCTAGCCGTGAGAGAATTAGGTAGGTGACCAGTGAGTTAGTAATTGCCTAGCACCCAGGAGTGAGGGATCAGCAGTGAGTGAAGCGACAGGCACTGAATGTCAGTGTTCTTTTGTGGAGGGCCGGAAGTTAGTACGATAGCAGTCCACTTGTCGAAGTTGAAGGAAGGATCCCACGGTTAAGTGATAAATCGCATTGTTGGTAACTCCCAACTAGTGTCTTTAAAAACAATTGTCGTTATTATTTTTTGTTCAATACGATGACTGCCAAATGGACAAATCTGTGAGCATAGCGAAGTCGGGAGTACATGCAAATACAGCCGATATTGGATGTCAACACAAGGGCAGTGAACGACGGACGAGCGGAGAACGTTGTCACAAATTCCGCCACCAAAGTCTTCACAGTATACTCTAAAGTTTATTTTTAATTGTCTCATGATGATTAGTCACTAAGATAGTACATACATTACAATTAATTCCCCAAAACGGGAATCTTAAATTACCGTATTTTCTGGCTTAGAAGACACACTCTAATATCGGAAAGAAATTTCTAAGAAAAAGAAAGTCATTCTCACATGCGTCCCTCACATACGTGTTGTTTAAATTAATCACTCGTCCGATTTTGTTTGTATGGCAATGACATACTAGTCAAGAGCAAAAAGACTCTCTGCTAGTAAGCAGAGCATGTTTAAGTTTGTGGCTCAGCTCCAGGAAGGTTTATAATCTTGGAAATACTTGTAACAGCAAAGTACTGAGGTTACATCATAGAAATGGTTGAATTAGATAGCTAACATTATAGTGTAATGACTCAACATAAAAATCCACGTCCCTATCAGTGAAGCCAATTAAGGGACCGTCTAAGTTTACTTGAGCCTGGGCGTTGCCTTACGTTCGTCTTGGAAGACGCACACGTATTTTTCAGTGTATTTTTTTAGGAACAAAGTGCGTTTTGTAAGCCGGAAAATACGGTACTTATGGCTCATGCTAATATTTAGGGAGTCAAGATGAGACTTGTCTTGATCGCCTACTGGGACTTAAACTCAACTCAAACCTCAAGTGAAACTCGTGTACATACGATCCATCGTTAGAGATGCTGGGAAAATGGTCGGTTCTAAGTATTGTTCCAGTAAGTACCAGATCAGACCTGAAATGGAGCCAGTCAGTTGGGTGCCATACGTGATACACGCTTACGATATCATGCTTATGATTATATTGATTCATGAGTGACTAGACAGAAGATATTCCCGCAGTAGGTTGCCGTTAGGGGGGGGGTTGTTTTGTTTTTTTTATTGTTCTGTTGTACTATTGCCATATATGGGCAGGAGTTACAGTCTTCACTTTCCAGTCTTAATAGAGTCCAAAAGCGTTTAGTGGGTCAGAGAGACCCCACCCCTTGTGAGCCTGTTGGGACTTAAACTCAACCTCGACATACGGTCCATCGCTAAAGGTGGAAAAATGGTCGGTTCCCTGTACAGTTCCAGCATGTACCTGACCCCTCCTTCTATCCTCTACCTTTACAAGAGCCAGATCAGGCCAAAAATGGAGTATTGCTGTCATATATGGGCAGGAGCTGCACAGTCTTCATTTTCCACTCTTGATAGAATGCAAAAGAATCTCTGTGTCCTTGAGTTTGATGAATTGTTTTCCACCCTACAACCCCTTCCTCACAGTCAAAATGTTGCAGGCCTCTTGTTGCTCTATTGCTATTCTCATGGAAAGTGTTCAAACGAACTACACACCTCAGTTCCCCCACTCCTAACCTTCATAACTAAGACCCACCATGCTACTCACATTTTAGGGAACCACCCTCATTCCTTTCGTATTCCATTGGGAAGATGTAAGTTCCACTTGAGCAGCTTCTTCCCACAAACCTTTGTGGAACCAACTCCCAAGAGGATGCTTCCCTGATCACTACAATCTTAACTTGTTCAAGCCTAAGGTTAACCGTTATCTTCCCCACATATCCTCATAAACCCTGCATCTTACTCTGTAACCCTCTACCTCAAGTGGTTCTCGGGCCTTGTACAGGGTGAACATCAATGTAAAAAAAAATAAACAATGAAACAAAATCTAATTTCCCAGTAAGTGAATCTATATTTTAGTACTTTTCAAATTGTAAACAAACTGAAGAAATTCCACGAGTCTTTGTATTTAATATTTCTTATTTCATTGCCCTCGTGGCATTTTCAGCCTGTATTTACGTCAAATATGGCGTTTAATTCTTTATTTACGTTGATGTGATATGGACGCACAGGCAACGATGAGAAAGAATGAGTGAGCAAGGGAGGTAACCCCGGTGCTGCTGCAGATGTTTCTGATAATAAAAAAAAATATGACGTTCGTACAGATGTTATACTCAGTTGAAAATCAGGTTGAATTACCTTAATGAAGCTAATTCAAGAGAGATGGCGGAAGATTCAGCGATGCAGTGGGTTTCAGCTTTAATGACAAGCAAGCTATTATTATCTACACAAAGTCTACTATAGATAGAATATATATATATATATATATATATATATATATATATATATATATATATATATATATATATATATATGTATATATATGTATATATATATATATATAATCAGAGATAGATTAAAACCTATTCATATCTCAGTGTATCTCACATATATATGCCACTATTTAGTGTTCTGTCTCTCATTGTCTGTTCGTCTCTCTCATTGTCCTGACCTCTCTCTCTCTCTCTCTCTCTCTCTCTCTCTCTCTCTCTCTCTCTCTCTCTGTGTGTGTGAGTGTGTGTGCGTGTGTGTGTTCCTCTATCAATATCTCTCCCTCTTCTTTCCTTCCTGACTTTTCACTTTTTTACTCTCTATTTCTGTGTACGGATTTCTCTCTATTTGTTCCTCTTTCATTATCTTTAATTAATTAGTTTAATTATTGTGCATTTGGGTAGCAATCCCTCTATTTTACAAGATTTTTTTTAAAACCGACTGACACGGTAGTGAGATTACACTTTTTATCTATTTTATTTTCCAAACAAGGTCAGCACGTGCACACGGCCACAACATACTGACCGTGTTTTGAAAATTAAAAATATTCCCATCACTGTAGCTACAGATATTTAAAAGTTTATATATTCAGTTAAGAATTAAAATAAAAAAGAGCCTTTATACTGGCCAATGGAATAGTCGAAACTACTCGAATATATTGAATAATTGAACAGTTTTTACACACTTTATATCCAGAAAAATTGAATAAAATGCTTAATCGTAATACCTTGTCAGTTGACTTTAATGACACTTGTATATATATATATATATATATATATATAGACATTTTTTTATGTTTATACGTTCTTTTTATGGATACAAATATTTAAGTAAATGCTTTGCTTATAATAAACAGTATTAACGACATTTACCGGCCTGAATGTCCGGCCTGAATTTTTATTGAAAATATGCGTCCTCCGACAGGAATCGAACCTGTACCCTATACGGAACCGTCATATATCCTGATGCGCTTTACCGATTGAACCACAGAGAAACGTTTCGGTTAACAAGGTCGATTTTACTGTTTTTAAACTACAATTCTCCATGATTTTCTCTCGTACATTCATATCTGCTCGATGCGTATCCAAATGTAAACAAATGATGTCACATATTATGAAATGGACAAAATCTGACAATTATTTTAGATATCGGTTTTTTATTCATAAAATAATTATCGGACTTTGTCCAAATATATATATATATATATATATATATATATATATTATATATAATGTATGTATGTTTACATGTTTTTATAGACAAGAGTTGTCTATTTATTTTATGATTTTTTTAAAATTTTGGTTTATGTAGATTGCGTGTATTGGTGTTAATGGAACTACATAAACCCAAAATTTTAAAAATTAATCAGTTTGTCTGACGATCGCTAAAGTGTGAAACCCAGGGTCACAAACTCACATCTATCTAACCATATATATATATATATATATATATATATAAAGAAAGAACAAAGAGATTTAGAATCCGTAGTTCTTTAGCATTTTTTTTAAATGTGCTAATACAACGTTGAGCATAATACTTTTAATATTTTATTTAAAATTTCTTTGATTCGGGTTTTATCCCGTCATCAGGCAATGTTTGGTAACTTATGGTGAAAAAAATATTTTAAATATACATAGATTTTTTATGAAAAATTCTATTAACTATATTTTAAGGTAAACATTATACAATGTCTACATATTAATTACAGCCAATTCATTACGTTCTATGCATTACAATTATATATCCATTATTTTATTATATATTATGGTACATGTAATATTGATTTAATTCCTTGATTTTTAAATTTTAAATATTGCCTTGAATTAAGGCTCATTGAATAAAATAAGTGTGTAATTTTAGGTTCAAAATTATATACAAAAATGATTTAATCATTCTAGATGCCTCTCTGTTCTTAGATATATACAAAAATAATTTTAAAAAATAAAATTAGCTTATTGTTATATATATATATATATATATATATGTGTGTGTGTGTGTGTGTGTGTGTGTGTGTGTGTGTGTGTATCGGATTATTTTATCGTATCTTAAATGTATACTCCTAACTGGATGAATGGTGTCGCGTCTTAAAATGAAAGTTCCTCGAGACATGTATGAATACCACTATACTATATTCTTAATTTCAACTTTGATCTGTCTTTTGATTGGTCAATAGTGTCACGGCCATAAGATTTTAAACTTTTCATATACCTCCTTCTTAACTCTTGAATAAGCAAACGTATTTCTTTCTGTTTTCAAAAGTAAATCTTTTTCATCAAAAGTTACCGAACATTGTCTGATGACGGGATAAGTCATCTTTTAAATAAAAATATTAATATATATATATATATATATATATATATATATATATATATATATATATATGATCCTAAAGTTTGTAACAGTATTTTTTGATACATAGTGTTTTGCATATATATATATATATATATATATATATATATAAAAGTGAACATAGAAGTCAACACTTAGAGGCGACAGCCTGTTTCATGCTATATGCAATCGTCAGGCCACGTGTGCTGTTATTTTTCTCGGCTATTTATACATATACGTGTCAGTGGTGTGTTGTGGGTAGTCTATTATTGTGGTTATTTTACCGGAAGTCGTTTATTTATTTATTTGGGTTAAATTATTTTGCTTGTTTTTATTTTTTGTTTGTTATTTTATTTATTTATTTATTTATTTTTTTTTAATCGGTGTTTTTTTATTAACGTAGTAAAATTTGTTTATATCACTTATTTAATAGTTTTGTTTTGGTTTGAGAATTTAATTAAAAGCTATTTGTTCGGTTTTTGGGGTTGATTGTTGTAGTTTATTCTAACTATTATTTTGGCAGGAACAGTTTTTAATTTGTGTTTATTTGGGTTGATTATCTTTATTTGTTTTTTTCTAACGGTAACTTTATCGGGATTGGTTTGTTTATTTATTTACTTGGATGAATTTAGGTCAATTTATTTTACTTGTACATTTTCTCTTTTCGGTTTTCGGTTTTTAAGTAACGTAGTATATATTTATTTATTTTTTATTTTTATTTTATTTTATTTTTTTTTTTTTTTTATCGTTATATAACAGTTATAGCTATTTTTTTCGTCCGATTTTTTGGTTTGATTTTTTAGTCTAACTAATATTTTGGTCATAATGGTTTGCTACTTTGTTTATTATTTACTTTATTTATTTGGGTTCGTTGTTTTTGTTTTGTTTTTTGTTATTATTATTATTATTCTATTTCGTCTATTCTAACAGGTGTGATTTGGTAATTTGGATTAATTAATTTTGCTTATTTTTATTGTTATTTTGTTTACTTGTTTATTTATGTTTTTATTTTATTTTTTCCGTTTTCAATTTTTAAGTAACGTAGTAAAAATTTGTTTTCATGTCTGCATTTTGAGATGAGCTCGGATCTTTTATTTAATAATTTATTTTGGTCTGGGAAATATATATATATAGGTAGGTAGGTAGGTAGGTAGGTAGGTAGGTAATGAAATGTTTGGTAATCCGTATGAATAATCCCAATGCTCAATGAATAAACAGAGCGAATATTAGTTTAAGGTCGTCTGTTTTACTTAAACTGATATATATATATATATATATATATATATATATATATATATATATATATATGAAGCCAAACTGCAATAATTTTTTTTAAAACAACACCTTAAAATGAAGTACTTTGTATTTTTAAAAGTAAATGATAACATTTCAGTAACTATAGTGTATTTGTTTTTATTCTGACAAAAAAGAAGCACTTAGCTATAAAAAATTATCATACAACAGCATCATAATTTATTTTCATCAATAAAACACTACCTGCCTTAACTTCTGCTTTACGAATTCTTGGCATTCTTTCCAACAGTTTTTGAAAAAGCATAGACAGCCGACCTTCTCGAGCATTCTTCAAGCACTGAAAAAGCTTACTCTCCCTCTTTGGGTATTCTCTTCGAACTCTCCTATTCAATTCATTCCATACTAATTCAATGGGAAAGTGTTCAGGAGACTGAGGCACCCAAGACATAATTTCAAAAATCGTGTTTTTTGGGTTTTTTTTTAAACTCGAGGTAATTTTGACATAATCTAAAGGAGTCTTTTAGATCGTTGTCTTGTCTTGATTTTTTTCCAATTATGCATAAACCAGATGGTATAAAATGTCTTTGCAAAATGAAATGGTATTGTTCTTTTTTTTTATGATTTCCTTCATCTAAATCAAATCTCGGACCCTTCTCCCCAAAACACCCTCACACCATAATAGACCCACCCCCATGCTTAAAAGAGAAGACTTTTAGGGGCAAAAAGCCTAAGTATTGAAAGAGTGACAAAATGTATTGTGGACAGATGAGTCTAAATTTGAACTTATGGGTAGTAACAGGAGGGTGTCTGCGATAAGAAAACCAGAAGAAAGAATGAATGATGAATATGTGCTTCCAACACTTATGTAAGGGTGACGGGTCTGTTATGGTCCTGGGTATGTTGGGTGGGGGGGACCGGAGATTTGATTCAATGATGAAAATAGAACATCAATCGATTTTGCAGTGACATGCTATGCTATCTTATTCACGCATAATTGGAACAAAACGCCTTTCAATACACCTAGTGTAACAGCAAAATTGTCCAAATCGTATAACAGCATAATTGTCCATCCCACAAAATATTTGATATTTAAAAAACACTAAAATAACGGTTTTTCCAGGTTTTTAGATAAGACGGTTAGCAATCTCGAAACTATTTTTCACAGAAAAAACCTTTCAGATATTCAGCTAAAATAGAGAAGGTTAAAATTCTTTTGTGTTTGACCAACTGTCTTCCCAACAGCAATGGTGAGAGGAAAAAGATTATTCAGGCCTTCAGCAATGTTACCAATATTCATACTCAGGCTTCCATCTTCAAAGTCCATTCAAGAATCATCACGAGGACGGTGAATAAGTTTTTAAAAAGTCTATTCCAGAACCAAGTGAATAATTTTAAAAAAGGGTGAACAGTCGAGAAGAGAACTGGATCAGAAAGCCACAACAGAAAGAGGGATCATCATTTCAACTTACAGCTAAAGAGATCAATTAGAAAAGATCCAACTCAACCTATAAGACATTTGACACGTGGGAGAGGAGTTTCATCTATGACAGTCCAAAGAATAGTGAAAAAAGACTTGAAAATGGAATCGTACGAGAAACTTTTGAGACAACTTGTTACTCCAGGACAGAAAGTTAGAAGGTTAGAGAAGGCGAAGATCATCTTGAATAAGTTCGAAAATGATCCTGGAATATATATATATATATATATGAACTTTATTCCAATCCTTCAAGAGCTTCCGATACTTAGCTATAATCAATTAATGATGAACATGTCATTTGCGTCCAACAGTGTTATAAAAACCTCGGAGAATTCCAGTAAGATATTTTTAATCATTTCTAAAAAACAACGGTTCTAAACTTAATCTAACAAATGGACAATTTTGCTTTTACCCGATTTGGACAATTTTGCAGTTACATTCGATGTATACATATATATATATATATATATATATATATATATATATATATAAATGTGTGCGTGTGTGTGTGTGTGTGTGTTTGTGTGTGTGTGTGTTTGTGTGTGTGTTTGTAATAAAGAAAGATTGTCCATTTATGTAGATATAATATAACGGTGAAATAAATTCAGGAGATAAAAAAACAACAACAATAATAATGATGATAATAAAACTAATATTGATTATATATTAGTAGGCCTTTTGACCAAATAGAAGCATGATGAGAAAGATTTTAAAAGTCGGAATTTTCGGACACGACTGCGTCCTTTATCATTGAGACGAGAGATAAAAAATAAAAAATGAAGTGGAACTCTCTTTTCCGGGGAATTTGTTTGTTTTTTGTTGTTATTTTTTATATAACAGATGCTGGAAAGATATTTTCAATTTCTCGTCTAGTTAATAAAAGACAGAGACGAGTCCGAAAATTCGGATTTTTAACATCTTTTTCATCGTGCCCCTATTTGGTCAAAATGCTCACTAATATACAGTAAATACTTTTAGTTTATTATCAACTAGAAAGATCAAAATTTCACTGTTTTTCTATTTACATTTTCTGATAAAACTTAATGCTTAAGTTAATGATTGAATGAACTCATGGCGGGTTCAACGACAATAAAATCTCCGAAGAAATCACCCTATCGCATCGTTAAATATTTGAGCTTAACAACTTTAACAAAATATTGCAATAACAATCATAAATAGGAATGTTGATTGTTATTTTAAGAAGTAAGGGGATACAACTGAAAAGATTTGAAAATGACAACTTTTTCCATTTCACTTTAACAGACATTAAACTTCTCAATCTTCCTTCCTTTCTTTCTTTCTTTCTTTCTTTCTTTCTTAGATTTTCTCACTGAAACCAAGTAGTGTCTTTTACCCACTTTTCATGCAATCAAAACGGAATGGCAGCATGTAACGGTCGTGAGAACTAAACAAGGGGCGAAAAAGCACAATTATATTAGCATAGTTTATTTATAATTTATAGTTTTTTTGTCTCAAATTTCTTTCACAGGCCTATATATATATATATATATATATATATATATATATATATATATATATATATATATATTATCCTTCACCGATAGCATGACTGGAATTTCATGCACAACAAAATCTTCAGGTGCACCTGGAGATTGCATTGTGCATGATAGTCTGAGCCCGCCATCAGTGACGATAATAATATATATATATATATATATATATATATATATATATATATATATATATATATAATATATTAAAAATATGATTCCAAATCGCGACATAAGAAGTCCCATCTTTCAAAACAAGAGCCGAAAACTTCAATATAATTATTTAAATGATTTAAATTAAATTGAGTTAAAATAAGCTCTGTTCCATCTTCAAGCGATCAGCGAAGATGGAACAAGCTTATTTTAACAATTTAAATAATTTAAATAATTATATTGAAGTTTTGGCGTTTGTTTCGAAACAAAGCGACTTAAGTCGAGATTTGATGAATCATTTTTTTGTATCGAGCACTATTTTTAAAAATAATAACTAAAATACTAAGGACTTTGGATTATTTACCTAACCAGTTCCTTCCTATTTTATATATATATATATATATATATATATATATATATATATATACTTAATAGCTCTGTTGTATTACATCGATCACTGTTTTATTAACGCCAGCACTATATGTGCATTTTTTATATATATATATATATATATATATATATATATATATATATATATATATATATAAACAAGCGTATACGCGTGTGCTGGTGCGCATACAGAGACAAGCAAATAAATAATCGTCAAATTTATACATGAGATGTAAACGTAACGGTGCTCGATGTGGTTAGACAGAGCAAAGATATATATGTTAATTAGTACATATACGTATACCTACGTTTTGGTGTGCAACTAAAGTTTCGCTGGATTACCAGTTCGTTGGGCACAAGATGTATGTTGTTAAAAGTAAACAAATGGCGTTTTTTTTTTTTAAATAACAACATGCATCTTGTGCCCAACCAGCTGGTAATCCAGCGAAACTTTAGTCGCTCACCAAAACGTAAGTACACGTATATGTACTAATTAACACACACACACACACACACACACACACACATCTCTTCAGGATTTAGTATGTAACTAAAAATTGTACAAATGATTATTCGTTCCGACTACATTTTGGCTTTTCAACTATTGCTTTTTTGTGCTATTGCAAATGGTGTGTAAGTTACTAAGACGTAGGTATATGTGTAAATTCTGAATACGGCCAGTACATCCTGGCTGTGCTCGTAGTTGATGTTGTTAAGGGTAACACGTGGATCTGATTTTGATCTGAAATGTTCACTGTATCATATTTCATGTATATAATCAATATACATCACTAAATTAAAACGAGTGACGTCCGGTTCACACTCCTCCCCACTCTTTTCAGCAAAAGTAGAGATATATCCCTTGTTTAGGATTGGGTTTTCGGTTCCTTCTAAAATTTGTTCATTATCTTCCATTCCCAGTAAGTCCTTGCGTCTTAGTGGCATTATCGCCTTGCTTGCTTAATTAAAAACAAGGGTGATTATGTTTAAAAATTAATATTTTTTGTGTAAGATAAGTATTTTATTGTTTTTGGGTACGGACATTAATTTAGTTGTGTATTTATTTAAAATCAAATTTCGAAAGAATTTTAGTTTCAGTTTATATATATATATATATATATATATATATATATATATATACTTCATTCACGTTTTTCTTTTTATGCTTTTATTTCAGTTTCTTTTTATAGTTTTTTTTCTTATAAACCGGAGAATTAATCACCCAGTATTCAGAATTTAAGGTGTAAGAATTTTTCTTAGAATCATTTAGGCGATGTTTGATTCCAACACTAGGTTGACTCTTAGACGCTTCCAGAAGATTCCCAAAAAAATGAAAATCAAACGAATCACTCTGCCTGTTGTCACGAAGCCCACAAACCTTTTGACTTTCCCTTGTGCTTTTTTTCGTCCGTCTTTCCAGACGTGTCGTTAGATTCTGTTTCTTACTGTCGAGTTTTCCTGTTTCCTGTTGCATTTGGCATGTTAATGCCAAATTATAACCAGCTACCAATCGCTGAAGATGGTCGACGTTTTCTTTTACCAATTCGGTTAGCTTATCATCACTTTTTCTGTGATTGTTTTGCAAATAAAAGAAAATATCATCCGAGATAACCGAAGGCAAAGGTGTCGCCATTTTACATGACCGTAAATCGGTTTTCTCGTTGCTTCTCGCCATATCTCCGCATCGTTTATAATCAGGGGACTTGTTTAAAATATCCCTTAGTTCCTTTTGCCATTGAACTCGTACTTTGTGAGAAAAATCGACTACTGCTTTTTCTTTAGTTTTATCTTCATTATCGGATGAATTTCCTGAAGTTAAACAGCTTTGTTCACTGGTTTCTATGGCGGTCATCGTTTTCTTCATAAGAACACGCATGCGCTGAGCAGATTTCCGGCTTTCAGTCGGTACGTTTGATTTCGATTGCAAAGGAAGTTTTTTAGATTGTTTGTTATAGGTCGTTTTACCAGAAATGTCGTCTTTGAAAAATCTTTCTTTCTTTTCTGTATTCTCGTGACACGAATATTTTATCTGTATGTTTTGATGGTTTTCATTGACGCTGTCGTTACCAAACGCTTCATCGTCATCTACACTCTCGTCGCTCTCGTCACTATTTGAATCGCATTGATTATAGGGAATGATGACCACTAACTGCCTCCGCTTTATTTCGGGCAGGTCATCCTTTATTCCATTGTCTTTGAGATTGTTTCCTGTTTCTGGTTTTATTTCTAACTTTGTTCTGTGGGAGCGGAAAGAAGACGGGTTTTTAGGAAGAGCTTCCGTACGAAGACTACTCGCTTTTAGATCACACTCCAAAAAAGGCTCTGAGCATCTGACGTTGACTGACTCGGCTTTTGCAGTTGTTACGGGAATGGAAGGCAACCGTACAAGCGGTCGTTTCCATCCGGGTCTTCTCCCGTTCCGTGGCCAGCTCCACCGGAAGAGGGGAACGACCTTTTCCAAACATCCGTTACTCGGCACGGTTGACTCCTGCTGGCCCTTCAGGAGGGTCGAGGTTTTTGCAGCATCAAATAGAGGAAATCTCAGTCCCGAATATTTTCCCCTTGACAACTTGGGTTATGAAAAAATAGAAAGAAAACAAAAACATATTCCATGTTATACATTTAAAAAATGTTCACATAATAATTTATGTCGAAATTCTTTACATAAAGAATATCACCGGTCGACATTTTTTCGGCCCAAATGTTGTTGGGCAATGGACACATGTTTCTGGGTTATTTTATCACGCTGAATCTTAAAACCAAGTCCATTTTGCCCCATCACATCACGTTTTCTCAGTACAGATAATTTCTATTTTGCTTACAAAAAAGGCCAAAATGCCTAATTTACAGGGATATGCTATTGCTTAAATATGCCAGTGACATAGTTGAAATATTTCATGTTAAAATGATTTCTCATTCAAGAAAAAGTATCTAAATAACTTTTAAAATGAATTCTAAGCTATTTCAATTAAGATAAGCCGACCTAAAAATGCTTGATTTTATGAGAGATATCTCACTGGAAAATACTCTTGTGCCCTCAATGTTCTTAGCTTGTTAAAACTTTGTGATTTGTGTTTCTTCTCTACTTTTCATAGAAGAAGCTCTTTAGAAGTCATTCAAGATCAGCGATTTTAGTTTTTATTAGTAGTTTTCACTTTAAGCCTGAAACTGACATAAGATTTTATCATACTAGAATTTATGGGGGTCTGGTATTGTCATGCAGTCTCTGTATAGCATGCATAGGAACATCAATAAATGCGGGTTGTTAGGGTGTTAGGTGAGTGTATTTGAGACTAGCAAGATTAGAATTTTCTTTCAGTGCTTAAAATAGCCACCAAACACCAGATAGGCATAACCAACTAGGTATTTTGCAGATGGGATGTTAACATGATGGTTAATTTCTACTGGAGCATCAAAAGAGATCAACCATTTCAAAAGCACCGTAGAGTTTCCAAGAAGAGAAGATTTATACCTTTGGATGGAGAAAAAGGAATGTATTTTTCATTCTTTGTCTGTTTTGATTCAAAAATTGATAACACATGTTTGCCTTAATTTTGTGTGAGATTTTTCTGAAAACTTTTTCTGAACTGAAAATGCATTCTTTAAATAATTGTGATACTTTTTGGGGTTGATAAGTTATTCTAACCTGAAAACCTTAGGGTTGGTTCTACTTGGCCCTAGCATATCCCTGGTAATGGGTATTTGGGCCTATTTTAAGCAAAATAGAAAATATCTGTACTGAGAAAACGTGATGTGATGGGAAAAATGAATTTTATTTTCAGGTTCAGCGTGAAAAAATAACCCAGAAACTTGTGCCCAACAACATTTGGGCCGAAAAAAAATGTCGACCGGTATTATCTATTCAATACGAACAAAAAAACTGTTCTTAGTTGTTATACTCACAAATTCGGCCATTTTAGCTATCTGTTGTCGTAATCGGTAAACTTCGCAAAATGTCGTTATAAAACATTTAGTAGATATTTCTCATTCCGCTTCACATACTTATGGGACATAACTCGTATTAGTTAATCCACAAATTTAGGGGAGATAACTCGTATCATTTAATTCACATAACGAGGTAACTCATATCAATTAATGCCCACCAGTTTTATTCACCATTGTGTAGCTTGTCCGCTTTTTCCTCTGAATCAAAATGTTATATACCGTACCTATGAACACTAATATCCCAATCCTCATAAATACATTGGACACTATTGTAAGTGGGGGTAATTTGCTGTACAAGTAGTCCACCACTAGCAGTGGTTTACCTACTTCACACCGCTGGCGAGTATTGTATTTTGTTGATGTTATAAAGATTACCATTTCATTTCCAATCTCTGTTTTGGTTATTCCTCATTCAGTAACCCTTTCCTAGGGTACAACACAAAGTATATGACTTTTCAGCACTAACCGACGCAGGGATCGAACTCAGGACAGTCAAAGAAACCAAATATGTTTCACCGGTGGAGTGGGGGATTAAACTCACAACTTGAATTCTAAATTTTAATTGATTAATTAAAAATGTTAAATAATTAAATAATGATTTCAATTCGGAATTCTTTATAAGTTACCTGGATCGACAAGGCCAGAGGGAATAACAGCCGAGACGTTGTGATAACAACAACGATGAGGATAATAGTCCGCTTGTAAACAGTGTAAATAACGATATCTCAATTCCAATGGATCTATCTATCTATCTCAAGTATGTTCATATCTATTTATCTATCAATTTATCTATCTATATCCTATATTAATAGGATGAAAGAATTGCTACTTAGAAATTTGTATATTATCAGGACTTTATCATTTCAGATCTTTCATTGGCCCAATAGTTTTACCTGGCCTGTTTTTTTTAGCTTCAAGCCGATTAAAACAGTGGATATTTGCACGTCACATAGGTTAAAAGTATAAAACTACTGATAAACAGTCATAACCTCAAATATTGATAAATATACATTTTTCATTTTTCATTCACCGGTAACACAACTCGGAGTTTCATGCACAACGCCATCTTCAGGTGCTCACTTAAGACTGACCGGTATATAATTTAAATTTTATTAAAGATATCTGGTTATCGGGATAGTGAGGTAGTCCATACTTTATACGGCGACTGTTGATGTTCCCCCACTCTTTTTAATTTTGCAATTTATTAATGTTTATTTTAAATCAGATTTTTTTATTTCTGAATTTTACACACACACACACACACACACACACACACACACACACACACACACATATGTCTGTGTGTGTGTGTGTGTGTGTGTGTGTGTGTGTGTGTGTGTGTGTGTGTGTGTGTGAAAGAAAGAAAGAAAGAAAGAAAGAAAGAAAGAAAGAAAGAAAGAAAAAGAGAGAAAAGATGATAGAAAGTTGAAAACAACGTACCAAATGTGTCTTGGAACTTTGGTCCTGAAAATGACTGAGTTGAAATAGTCGACGACGTGTACGAACTTGCTTCTCCTCGACTCGCGTATTAATCGAATTCAATACATCTGACATTCTCTGTCATTTCAAATCTTTATAAAGAAAATATAAAAGAATAATTTGTGAAATTAGAATATCAAACAAAACAACAGATTTATTGTAAAGGTTAACATAATCCGTAACCTGAGATTAACCATCAGTGTCACGTAATCTAGGCTTTAAAGATTTTCAAATGAAAATTTTTATACAAAGCAAAGCCGAAAATAATTTCCCTATTTTTATATGGATTTGAGTTTTATATAAGTTCTTAGATATATAAATTATTATCTTGTCAGCTGCTAAGAAATTTGGTTCACTGTCGTGCAAAAGAACCTCCAGAATCTATCTTTCACATCTACGTTTACTATTCGTCTATCCTTAGAATATTTTGATGCCACATATGGTCTCTGATATTTTCCTTGAGTTCCTTGATAAAATCGAAAAGAAGAATCAACAATATTATCGATACTAATCTGGTGTCTTGGTTTCAGTCACTTTTCCACCGCCATATGGTTGTCTTGTAACGCCTTCTCGTTGATCTTAATCAACGGTAACCAACTGACTCAAGTTCCTTCCTGTGGTTACCATTTAGATGACTCTTCACTCGTTAGCGCGTGACTCGTTTTGTCGCTGGTATCATGATGATGGGCACGGTTCCACCCAAATCAGCTGGCGTTTGTGCGATCACGACCATTCACTCCACTGCCATGTTGTGTTTTTGATCTCAGAGAGTGAGTACATCACTGATGAAGCAGACTAAAGTGAGGACTGGTCCAGCCGCGACACACAAAAAAACAAGAATCCTTTGGAATAAAGAATTAACTCAGGTTAAAAATGTAACAACGATTTGGTTTATTTATGACCTGTTGTATACAGCGGTCTTAACCCTTCTCACTTGTTGTCATAATCAAATGACACTGGGATCCCTTGTGAAGTCTGCAGTTTGTTTTTTTAGTAGCTTAAATTTCTAAGATTTTATGTCTGGCACAAGGTCTTGGTCAGGAGACCTTAACGAACGATGTGAATTCCATAGCAGTAGTGTGGGAACTCTCTCTCTCTCTCTCTCTCTCTCTGCAGCTTATATGGAGTTATGCGTCCGGCATGGGTGGGGTTGACTAAGGTCTAGATTCGGTTGTCTTCTACTCTATGCATCATCCTTTTCTACATTTCCATATATAAAAATACATTTACTCCTTAACTCCAATTCTCTTCACGACTCACCTCGCACCATAGCTATAAGTAGGCGGTGCTAATCTCTATCTTCCTTCTCTTCCTTCTCCCACTTTCTCAACAGCTAAACCAAACCCGCCCCTAGGGCTCATGGGACGAATCTAACTTCCAGATTGTGCAGCGAAAACAAAAGTGATTTCCAGTCATTAATCCTTCGTTATCAGCTTGCTTCATGTTGTGATCTCTCGATCGACCAAACCACTCAAGAATTGGAAAAGGAAAGAAAAAATATTTTCAGTCACCTTAAAAAAGTTTATCTTTTCTCTGTCTATGCATTTTTATGATCAACAGACCAGACAAAAAATCCATGGTCACTTTAAAATAGTAACTAATTTTTCCTTTTCACTTGTATCCAAAGGAATCCGGATTAATGTTGGGATATAAAATTTAATTTCAAATGCAGAATACTTAAAAAAATATATATAGGCTTGTACGCTTTGCCGTGATTAACCAATCAAATATGACCTATTAGCTCCAATGCGATAAGTGCTGTTTTTCTTTCTGGTGTTGAGTTGTTGTCCTGGAGAAAGTTCGTACATACCAAGTGCCGAGATGAAGTTGATGTTGTTTCGTATATATATATATATATATATATATATATATATATATATATATATATATAGTGGTACTCGCTTGGAAAAACCTCGGATAGCTCAACTTACAGTAGAGCAAATCTGTACTTGAGGAAAAATGGGAATAAAAAGAAAGAACCAAGAATATTAAACCAAGGCGAAAACAATCGTCCAGTGTTCAAGCTCCAAAGGAGAAAAAAAAAAAACAAGTAAAAAGACAACTACGTAAAGAGCTCAATACGCTAAATAGAGCAGAACCTAAGATAATCCTAAGG